CACAGCAATTGCGAGAACAACTTGAAGTCATTCAAAGACAGGGAGAAACTATTCATCATCATGAAGCTGGTCCATCACACCACGTTCAAGCTGGAGCCGGTCCTTCACATCAATTTCAAGCTGGAGATGCTCCAATGCATCAATTCCAAGGTAATTATTAAAACTTAACAATCATAAAAACGAAAAGATCATAAAACCACATGATTCGGATGAAAATTGATCAGTTATCAAACACTTCAAAATAACTCCTTTATTTAATTCCTTATAGGTTGTAAAAATTATTAACTACTTTACTTAATATAAATTATTTTCAGATCCAGAATACCGCCAAAATCTTATGTATCGACTCTTTGGTACTCCATCAAATTCTAATCATAATGGAGGGTCTGAAGCAAAATCTAATGATTCGGATTAGAGGTTACCAGTTAACAAACAAAGATTGAAAAAGAATTTAAAAGGATAGTGAAGTGCTTTAAAGTGATATACATATTTCGTTCAGGGTTGTCCTTTCTAAAACACTAAAATAGGGCGCAGCCTCTCGAAAATCGTGTGAAATCAGCCAAAAATAGGGTAAAAATGGGTATTATTTTAAGAACTGAAAAAACTAGACAATATTGGTTCGATATACGGTTTCGATATTCATCATCAAAATACCAACTGAAAAAATTTAAATAAGAAAAAATTGACTGGCCAAATAATAAAATATTCTTGGTTGGGTTTCCCAAGTTGAGTTGCTCTCAGATCGAAATCAAGGTGACTTTTTCCAAACCATCAAAAGGAAACATTGCTTCACAAAAAGGGGACAAAAAGTGGGCGAAATCGCCAAAAAGGGGAAAAAGCGAAAAGATCAAAAGCAATTGGCCTGTAAATAGGGTAAAAGGACAACTCTGATTTCTAACGGATTATCTTTTTACTATATGGGAGTTTAGTGTAGTGTTTACGTGTGAGCTTATGGCAGAATTAGATGGATATCCGTCAAAATCCCTGGATCTCTGAGATATCCAATCGATTCTTCGGATATCTCTTCAAATTACTTTTAATCCACCTAAATCCCTTTATCTACCGAAATACCTCTAATCCAAGTCAGTGTTTTGGAGGGATTTTAAGTCTTTTATAGATCAAGCGGGATTGGAACGGATATCCAATGATTTGGATGGATATCAGAGATCCGAGGCTTTGGTATTCTGGTTTATAACTTTTAGATATGGGGTCTTTCGGTAAGTACTTTTACTTTTATATTTGGGGTGTTTTTCTTAATTGGACTGTATTATGTTCATGTAGTGGAAAACATATTGAAAGGGCGATGTATCAAGTTATTAAAAATGGTCAGAGTTTGCTTCTTTTTTTAACTTTACTTTATTTCCCTATGACGTCCAATCAGTCAATAAAGAATTATTCTGAATGTTCACATTCTGAACGTTGTATCACGTTCAGAATGTTGTGCTAATGCCGTAACGTCACCTTAAAGCGATGAAACACCTTATATCTTTTCAAATTCTTTTATAACCACTTGATCCTCCGATATCCTATAAATCACTTTATACCTCTGATCCCCTCTCACAGGACACTTTCTAATCCCTCGATAGTTTTCCAACTATGGCAAAAATCCTAATAGCAAAGTAAACTGTATAAATTTTCTGAATTTTTCCCCTAAATTCGTCTAAAAAATGGTTTTTATGGGGTGTATACTCCGAAAACCCCGAAACTTTTCCGAATCGGAAGACGGGGTTTTCGAATTGGTCGGGTCAGGGAAATTTTGAAAATATCTTTCGGAAACGCGGTCGGAGTACAACTCTAATCATTATATGCTAAACTGAAATCAGGCAATTTTTTGTCGACATTTTGCATGCCATTGAGATGTGAAAGTTGAGGAAGTAAGCAAAGTATGACCATTTCTTATATTTTAAGGAAAGAAATGGAGGGGTATACGAACTCAGTTTTCTTTTTTTATGTTTTTTGAATTTTTTGGGATTTCGTTTTCATTTCTACTAGGATAAAATTTCATTTGAATTTATTATTTTATTTATTTTCAAAATTATATTAAATAGAAAGCATTTTCGGCTGGATATTATTTAAGTCATTTAGTGTTGTATATGGACTAGAGCCCTTAACCAGTTTAGTATAAACTACTTTTAGCTTTCCGAATACATCTATCAGACGAACATAAAGGCATGCTGTATTATAATGGGAGCTTTCTATAGTCTCGTCCTTCCCTAAGTCTTCCTATTCTTGATTTACTGAAGGAAAAAGATGCACTAATATAGTAAATATCATAATTTGTTTATCGAATAAAAACAAATATTTATTTACAAAAAACATTGGATGTATAACAAAATTGATAATAAGCAAGCCTATTTTAATAATATAAAAAATAAAATTTTGATAAAATTCAAATAAAAAATTGGCCCTATACCAAAAGGTTAAAATTTCCCCGATATATATTACTTTTGTTTGAGCGGTTATGTGTCTTTACAATAAGGCCAAAATTTCATTTTATTAAAAAAATATATAAATAAAATAATTAGGGCTTGGATTTCCAGGCATTTTAGGCACTAAAAACGAACTAACTGACCATAACTGATCTCTACATTTCTCAATTAAAATCAGTACTCATTTATTCGTACTAGGGTTGTACTCCGTTGAGACTTTTCTTGAAAATGCCCATCCCCATCTAACGTGGCCGCGACTCCCAAAAAATTTTCCACTGGCCCGGAACAACCTTATTCGACAGACAGAATTTATAGTTAATCAGAGGGGCAGTTCTCGGTGATTATCAGTTCGCGCCTCTTTAGCGCCTGAAAATCCAACCCCTAATGATAATAATTAAACAGCTTCAGGTTTTTCCATATTATTATTATGAGAATCTTCATGCCGGAAAAATGCGGAGATTAAACCATCGCTTACAAACAGACCACAGGATAGAAGAGAAAATATCTAAAAAAATAATTTTAAAATTCGAAAAAAAATTTTTTTGTCTACCCCAGCCAATGCCCATCCATTTATTCCACAGTGAGTGTCAAAATAATTTCCCATTGAATTGAAGTTGCGACGTAACAACTGACTTTGGTAAAAATCGTCAAGCCAAGGGCAAGCGCTATAATGCATTTCGAGACCAAAAATGAACAGGGCTATTGGAACACAACCAAAAGCATAGAGAATACACTAAAATGTTAGAGGTATAAAGTAAAATTTCGAAGATAAGTCAGCTAGAACTAGGGTTCTCTCTTCTATAAAATTTAATGAATCTCTGGAAGTAACCCAAGAAATAGAAGACAATAGAGAGAAGTCTACGAATCTGTCTACTACCAGACCTGCTCACGGATACTAATTTTTGCATCCGTATCCGGAGTCTTAAGACGGATACAGGAGGATATCCGCGGTCATTTTGATATTATCTGTATCCATGAGCAGATCCGTTATTACTATAAGTCTACTACTTCCCCGTTCCCCTTTTGTGACGTAAGAAATTTTCCCTGTCTCCACTCCCCCCCCCCCCCCCGGTGCCGCTGCATCACCGAAAGCTTTTCCCGTGGCCCTCCCCCTCCCTCCGTCGGCAAACAACCCTATCCACTACTATAAGGACATGTATAAGTATTTAACTCACAATCATTTTTGAGTGTTTAACATGAAGGCAATGAACTGTTTGAAGCATTACTGTAACCAATAGCATCGCTATGGATAAAAAAGCCGCGAAAAATTGGCCTCTGTTAAAGGGAGATATTTCAAAATGTTATTAAAATTATCAAAATTTACGTTAAATTCATTTCAGAAAATGTCATAGGCAGTTCATCCATAGAATAAATTGGTTGATAATTCCTAAAATTAAGAAGGAAAATTCAGAAAATTTTTTTCAAGAATTTTTTTTTGAAAATTTTAAAAATTAAGAAAATCAAAGAAATTTTTAGAAGATTTTCAAAAAATTTTCGAAAAATTAAAAAAAAAATTTTCGAAAAATTTTTGAAAATTTTCTAAAATTTTCAAAAAAAAATTTTCAAAGATTTTCAAAAAATTTCAAAAATTTTTTTAAAAAATTTTCTAAAATTTTTTACAATTACCATTTATCCAGTGTAAGAAACAAGGTTATTTTAATTCCATTCCTGTCATGGTAAACTCCCACACCTGAGAATATTAGTAGATTGACTAGAATGAGGAGTATCTATTTAAGAAAAAAATATTTTTAATTAATTTTTATTAGCTTACAATATTAGCCATCCTCAGGGTAAAAACAACTCGTGAAGTACTAACATCATTGCGGCGCCTTAAATAATTTTAATAAAATTTTAATTTATAAATATGCATAATATCGGATATTTTAAATTATTAATTATGTAAACACGAGCTAATAAGGTGATTCTGATTCTCTACAAAAATTCTGATTTAATTATTTCATATTCTGAAAAATTCTGAAACAGAAATTCTGTTAAAGAAGTTCTTATTTTAAAAATCTGATATTATGATTCTAAAGGATATTAGAAGGATTTCAAAGTGGCTAGCGTTTAAACGCTTATGAGGAAATGTTTAATATATATTAAAAATGAAGTTAAAGCAGTTACTCTACAGCTCTTTCGCTAGGTAGAGCACCTGTACGTGATGAGCGAACATTAATACTTGCTAGAAGGTTACAGGATCATTGCCTGCTAAACGTTCACCACATTCTTACTTAATTCTAATTATTCGTTGCTTTTAAATTTTCCTGAATATTTTCTGGAATAAGGCTTTTGATAATAAAAAAAAGTCAAAACAAAAAATTAGAGGGTTTTAAAAACCCCCTGACAAAAATAAATCTTCGAGTCAATGGAATTAATTTTTCAATTCAATGCACAAAAAAGAAACTTCTTAGCATTCAAAAATAGTAAATTTTATATGTTGTATAAATACTATTAGAAGACTGATAATAAATTTTTTTATTTTCTGATTGAACTACTATACTGATTTTGAAAATTCTGATTTTAATAATTTCTGATTTTTATGAATAATATTCTGACGTTAATAATTTCTATTTTTGATTCTGATTTATAAAATTCTGATTTTTAAAATCCTCTCACCTCCAATCCACCTCCGTTTCCAACGCCTGCGCTACCAACATCAGCCTATTTAAGGTCCCAGTAGACTGCCTATTTAAAGCAGAACGGTCCTGATATTTATTAGCACTAAGGAGGCTATTATCAAATACTTGTTGTCTACAGCTATTAATTGTTGTGTTGGTTGTTTTTGTTGATTTTTCTGAATTTTCTGTTAATTCTAATAACAATTTTGTTTGTTTTTCTTCTTTTAAACTCAAATTTTCTTCTTCATCCAACGTCATTTGTGTTATTTGAATGGCTGGAATGTCCCCTACAAAGGGCTGATTTTGTTGTAAATTGGGCTGTTTTGTGGAGGCGAATTTGGATTGTTTTTGTTGTCGCTTTAAGGGGAAATCATTTGATTTATTTTCTGATTTTTTTTTAATTTCTGATGAAATTTTTTGATTAAATGAAAAATATGATTAAATTCTGATTTTATTTATTCTTCGGTAATTTTTTTTGATTCTAACAATAAGATACAAAACATTTATGGTAACTTAGTCTATAAAAATCCCAATTTCATTCCGCCTTTTTGAAGGTGGAAAATTTCCAAATATGCGCATATATGCGCTGAAAAAGTCCAAAATATGCACCAAAATATGCAAAATTTCTCAAAATATGGACTAGATATGCAAACAAAATTGACCAAATTCTACCAAAAGAAGTTAAATTTAGGTTCTGGCTATTGGCAATTTATTTCGTTCCTAAATTCTCAAAATTCTCGCCTGCCTTGATAAAAATTAACGAAATTTGAGCGGGATATTCTTCTCTAATCGTCGAGACGAAATTGTGGAATTCTGTTCGAAAAAGACAAAATTCTTTTTCGGATATCCGAAGAATTTCGAGTAACAGACAACCCTAGTTCTGATTACTTTGATTTTAATAATTGTGGTTTTTAAATTAAATTTTATTAAGTTATGTATTTACCTTAATATTGCTGTTATTATTCATCATTTTTTCCATTTTTTATTTGACGGAAGTAAATTTTAAAAAAATAAAAATATTTTTGTGTTGTGAATTTTTATAAAATTAAGTCTTATTTTCTTTTTTAAGCTGTAAATTGATACAATTATGCAAGGAAGAAATTATAAAAAATTTGAGAAAAAATATCAAATTGCTAGGTAATTAAGCTTAAAAATGGAAAATATTATATTTTGTAAAAAAGATTTTTTTGCAAAATATATTTTAAAATATTTAAGTGTTTATTTTAAAAATTAAAAATATTTTCAAACAGATTAATAAAATAAAATAAATTTTTTAAAAATTAATGTATGGTGGAAATGAAGCCTTAAAATAATAAATTAGAGAGAAGAACAATTTTTAATTATTTTTGAACTATTATGTTTGGTTTAAATTGTAACTAACACCATAGGAACGGGTTTTGTTAAGGTAAATCATCCAATAGAAAATTGCGGATTTCCGCCAAAGATAAAACAATAGCTAATTTATTGGGAGTAACAGGGACCTGACTCTTAAGGCAATTTTTCCACCCCCAACTAGGCTTAAGTCTAGGTTTGGAGGTTAGTTAAAAATGTTTTGGAGTGCTGGACCATTACAACAAAATCACAAATGAATTTTTCCAGTTTTGATAAAGATAAGCTTAAATTAGGGTTGGACACGACCTAAGAAATCCGCCTACATAAAACCGTTATTTAACTAAAACTCAACTCCGAAAATTGAGGGTTTTTTTAATTTTAATCAACCAAAAACCGATGGTCCAATCCTACGCTGGAAGTGTAAATTTCATTTCAAGAAAAATTGGACTGAAAATTTTAAATTAATGCCAAAGAAATGCCAAAAAAATTATTTTAATAAATTCAAAAACAAAATTTTTCTTAGATAAATTAATGAAGATGAGGAGATTATCCACACACTCCCTATTACGTTTATTCACTCACAAGACTTTTAATTCACAAGAAAAAATGGAAATGAGCAATAAATAAATAAAAAAATGAAACCCTTATTTAAATCTAGGCAATAATATTATAAAAATATTAAAAAAATAATTCTCGTTACTTTGGCACTAAATAAACTCTCTCTATTTATTTAAATAGTTAATCCGTTGTCGTTGACAGATTAAAGTCAAAAAAGCTTTTATAATGAGAGAAATAATGAGCGGAAATTTTAAAAAATGAGGGGGAAATAAACGGAAAATTGTGGTTAAGTGAGGGGGAATTTTAATATGGTATTTCCTAGGCCTTGTTTTGATAATAACTTTGTGGATAATTAGACGATTTGAATAATTTTTATGTTAATTAAAAGCTATGGCTAAGGGAAAGGATTTTAAAAAGCCGAAAGGCGAAACTCGCACACCACTGCTATAGAGATGCGAATTATTATTCCATACAGGACTTTTCGATTGGTTAATTAGAAAAAAGTACACCTTAACAAGTGCGAACTATGACTACACATGTTTGCTGTAACTTGTCTGCGATGATCTTCCTCCTGATAAGTTTAATTATTTACAACTTCAGATATTTTTGATATGGAAATTAGATCCATATTTAATTCAACAAAGGATTCAAAATTCATGGGCAAAACAATGTCTCAGGAATCAGAAACAAGAACTTTATGTGGACTCACATAAAGTAAAATATTAATGAAAAATAAAATATTAAGTAAAATATGTATATACCTAGTTTAGATTTTAATTATTTGTGAAAGGAACTAAACAAGAGGAAGTTAAAAATGAAAGGGATTTAGATTTAAACTAAATAGAATTGACATAAGTAAAAAAGGATTTATTGAATAAAATTAAAAGCTGAAGCTTAAATTATTAACTAAAACAAAATTTTTAATAAAATTTTTAAAATAATGAAACATTTTTAAATCTTTGTAGAGGATTACTTGGATTTAAAAATATTAAATAGTTCCGCGTAAAACTTTTTATGACCAGAGACCATGACTTGACACAAAAACATGGCCGGAAACCCCCATTAAAAGTTTAAAAACCTAGGCTAATGATCTCTGACGTCTCTTCTTTAGAAACTTAAAGGGATACTTATGTTCGGTGTCTGGGGCAGTTTGTCGGTGTAATAAATGGCATACCCGAGGAGAAAGTAATCACGTTGAATTGCTTAATTCTGAGACAACAATTTCCTCTAATTAAAAAGTGGGGCATTCGCAAAACGCGCGCACCAATAACGGAGCAAAGCCATAACTTGCTTCAAGATTTCCTAATCTTACCAATTTTAGTATTAAACGATTCCTTTCCGTTAGCTAAAGAGATTCGTATCAAAATTGAAAGGGGCCAGAAATTTTCCAGCAAGTTATGGCTTTGCGCCTTTTAGGTCTGTACATTTGAAAGTTATGTAAAATCGTTAACATTCACCCCCCCCCTCCCCCCACATATATCCAAGTTTGTAAATTGCTTTTTTTGCTTGATTTAATTACCCCAAAAAATAAAGCTAATTGATAAAATTGAGTATAAGAAGAAGTTTCAAAAATAGATTGGGAATAGAATTTTTTGGAAATAGAAATTTCTATTTTGAAATTGAAATTGGAGAAGGAAGCAAGTTTAAAAGGGGAAGCAGAATTTCAAGTAAAATTTAAAGTTAAAAGAAAATTAAAATTAGAAAAAAATTTTCTGAGTAATTTATTGAGGGTGGCAACAAAAAACGAAAAAAAGTGTTCGACAAAAGACCAATAAATAAATTTAAAAAAAAGTTTAAGAAACAATTTCTTCTAAAATAAATTTAAATAAGAAAAAAGGAAGGAAATAAAGGGGGAAAGAAGAAAAAAGGGGGAAAAAGGCTTTGGGGGAGTAAGGCTAAAAAGGCGCTCTGTCAATTAAGAGTCTTTGGAACATTGTGAGGGTGGTGGAATTTTTTTTATTTTTTTATTCTTTCTTTTTTGAATTTATTATTTAAATTTTAAAATTTGTGTTTTGTTATTTAAAAATTTTAGAAAAAATTTTTGGAAAATTTTTTTGATTCTACTTAATATATAAAAACGCAAATTTTCAATTGTTTAAATTGCTTAGGTTAACATTCATTTAAAATATGGTTTTCTTTGACAATTTTTGGATTGGGGGGTTTGTGTACAGAACCCCCTTCTAATTTTACTTGTTAGTGTTGTCAGTTTCACGAAATTCTTCGGTTAACCGAAACCGAACCGAAATTTTGGGATTGGTGTTTGTCTAAACACCCTTCAAAAGTTTCTATTAAACCGTATTCCGTACCGTACTACCAATACGGAATACCGATAAATACCGAAAAATACGGTACGTTCCGATCTCTAGTTTCTATACAGGCAAAGATTATTGTGGACCAGATAACTGTTATTGGGATAGTCAAAACAGGTTAATGCATGTTTTATACATATGCAGATATAGCCTGATGTAAGTAATCCATATATGGCGCTCTTGTGTTGTGCCGAGCTTTAAAGGATTTAAAGGACTTGATTGGATATTTTATGAGCATATTCTGGCATATCCGTACATATCTGGGACAACCCTAGTTATAAATATTATTAAGTAAATTGATAAGTAACTTTAAAAGCTATCCGACATTTGGGGATCAGACTTTTGGGGACCCGACAGTTGGGGAGTCGGGTCCCTAATTCGGGTCCCTAAGTGTTGGGTCCCCAAAAGTCGGGTCCTCAACTGTCGGGTCCCCAAAGTTCTGATCCCCAACAGACATGGGCGAAACTCCAAATTTTTTCCGGACGAAACGAAACGAAACAAAAATTTTTAAAAATCGTTTCGTTAACGAAACGAAACGAAACAGTCAAAATTTAACGAAACGAAACGAAACAAAACGAAACATTTTAATTTCGAAAAAAATCTCAAAAATCTGGATTATTTTATTAACTGCACAATTTTAAGCATGTTAATTGGCCAATAATGACATATAAGTGATCGTAAAATTAAGTGGACCATAAATTGTGGTTCCATTAGCCAATTTTTCTCTTAATCTCACCTAAATCTATAGTTCGATGGTATCGGGATTTATAGAAAAACCGGGATCTGGATTTTGGAATGGTGATACCGATCCCGACACGGGATCGGGATTGGTCGAAATCGTCGCATTACCAAATGAGTAATTGACGACAAAACTTTTGGATTATTAAGCAAGATCCTCCCCTCCAAAATATGCAAAAAGATTAATCTGCGGATACTCCCAGTACGGGCTCTAAAAATAATAAAAAGGGGGTCAACTCTGTACCCCTCATTAGCTCCGTTAATCCCACAGATCGACTGATTAAACTTGTAAAGAGATAAAAGCAAAAAATGGTGTTGATCAAAAGTTTGTAAGCCTTCAGGGTCAATAGGTCATCATTGTGTAGGTTTACGAGGGGGAGTCTTTTCTCATCACCGCAGGCGAAAATTTTCAGAATTTTGAAGGCAAAGAAGCCAGATTTCTTCCATTTTTTGCGCCGCAGGCGAAAATTTTTTGAATTTTGGAGGTCC